AAGAAGAGAATTACCTATGTAGAGATACTGCTTGCAGCCAATGATGCATGAAATTTTTTTGTATAAGATGATGTTATGGGGTAGGACTGGATAAGTCTGACTTCTTCCTACTCCATTCAAGCATGTACTAGGTATAAGCAAACTGATTCTGGATTAGCATTGGTTGGATTTGTGTAATTATGTGTGTGTTGATGTCATTTGTTCTGCATGTTTGAAAGAATAAATCAAATCAAAGTCACGTGACCGATACAGGAACTGTTTCGAACGGACACTGCCGCGCCAAACTGTGTTTATAAGGAAGCGCATATGTTAACGGGATGTATCTGCCAAAACGATTCTCTGATCTATTGCGGTTCATCGTCACATTCATCAAGAATTATGGAGCAGCCTCAAGCGTGAGCGGGTGTTTTCTACAGCTGGAGAAGTTGTATCAAAAAAGCGTAACGGACTCAATTTCAAAACGTTGGAAAAACTTATTTTTTTGAATAAAAATGTGTAAAAAAAAAAAAAAAGCCCAGTCCACAAGCATCCTCATTCACAACACGTTCATTTAGATTTTCACGTTATGATACATGTTCACATTATTTATTGACTGTATCTAAAAATATCAAGGAAATTTTAAATTTAAATGAAGATATGAAATAATACAATATAAAATACAATGACTTAAATTATATTATTGTATATACTAGGTCATCAAATCAGCGTCAGTTGAGTCTGTCAACTAGGTTGCCTGTAGGGATTTTTTAAGGTCCAGCAGGTATCAGTATTCAGTGACACAGCATCAATACAGTTTGGCAATGTGTCGAAACGCTTCATGACGCCTCATCTACCCATCACTACTGTTGAAAGTTATTGAAGCACGCTGAATAATCAGTTGGGAGGGGGCTAGGAGCTGAAACAGAGCGTGGTCGGGGTTTGGAGCTACTAGCACTAGGGGGAACAAATAAACCTTATGAATGTACAAGCTTGAAAGTTCTTTGGGTAATCCTCATTCTGATTGGCTGCGAGTCACATCCGGCAACACACGGGATCCAATGAAACGGCTCCTGCTGCTGCGTTTTGAATCGCAGGAAGGTTTAACCGCCAGGCGCCGTTGCATGAGAAACAAAAGCAGATTGTGTTGATTTCTCTTCAGAAAGCGGAATATATCGTTCAAACATGGATTTGGACTCCATGAAATATACTGAAATGCGAAACCTTGCCAAGGAGCTTGGACTTAAAGCGAACATGAAGGTAATATAACCTCAACTTTTAAAATAGTTTACAAACTTGGAGGGTATTGTGAACGGTAAGGTTAGCTTGTTGAAGCTTGACCAACCCTATTAAGTTAAGCTAAAGACAAATGTAAGATGATGTTTGCATGCCTGTGTAACTAACTGCACCGAATATGCTCAGTTAACGTTAGTTAACGCGTTTCGTTCAAAAACAGGCCGATAAGCTCCTGAAAGCGATCAAGGATCATTATCTAAAGGAGAAGACCAAGAAGGACGAGGTTGGACAGGTAACGTTAATGTACACCCACGCCCAAACGTGATGTTTATGTGCAAGATTAGTGAACAGTGACCTTTTGTTAATCTCGTCGGTTTTCCAGATGCAAGTTAAGGATGCAGCAGTTGTCATAGAAGGAGAAAACAGCGCTCATGCAACTTGCAAGAAAGACGTTTTTAGCGCCACTGTGTTTGTAAACACACGTCGTGGCAAAGGAAAGAGAAAGGTCACTGATGCTGCCAACGTGATGGAGCGTGATGCCGAGTTACCCCCAAGCGCTGCAGAGGTATAACCCATCATATACTGCAGCACAAATACATGACAAAAACAGAACTTGAACTGAATCATGTATAAATGACACCTTTACATATAAAAAGAAGCAAAACTCAGATTGGATCATAGCACATGTATTTGTGCATTTGTGTCCTCCACTTCTCATTGGTACACGTGCAAAGCAGGTATTGGGATACTTATGCACAGGGGTTCTTAGTTGCAGTGTGTACTCCTTGCATCCAGGACAATAAATTAATTGACTATTGTTCCTTAAGGGTGACACTGAAGTGGCAGACTCTAGTGCACCCAGTGGCGCTAGGCTTGCTAAGAAGAGAAAAGTGTCCTCTGCCAAGGATTGTGACAAAACTGTACCTGAGCCCCCGGACAGTCATGGTGGAACAGGTCAGCACTATGTTTTGGTTTATGGAACAAAATGTGCTGCTGCTGTTTGGTTTTTGTTTTTCTTGTTAAATGTAATATTAACATGTCATCTTGCATTCTTCTTGTATTTTAAATGTTTGTCCAGAAAAGGCACCAAAAGTGGTCAAAGCTGGTAAAATCCCGCGCTACCAAGGGCTCCAGCAGGCAAACAAGCAGCCTGTCACTCCTAGTAAGTTCTCTGTGTTTTTGTTTCTTTTGAGACACCACATTACAGACAGGGGGTGATTTACAGGGTTACCACATGTCCTGAGAAGCCTGGGAATTATTGACCAGTTTGTAATGATGGAAATTGTACAGCATCCTGGAATAACACCGCATTATCCTGGAAAATCAGTTTAGCATTTTTATATTTTGCTTTTGCTGAGATTGAGTTGTCAAATCTCAGCATGAGGTATCAGCTGAAATTGTGGCAATGTGTGAGATAAAGTCAGAATAGCAATGGTAGAAGTTTATGTCCTGGTTTTTGTATGTTCTGTACCCTAAGTCATTGGCTTTTGAATGCACCGCGTCACATCAGGTTGGTGAAGATGGTGTGAATAAAATAAACAGGTTGGATAAAATCACAAGGGAATGTAGCCCAATAACCAAACACTCTAAGTACCTTGATACTTAAAATGCAAACATTACTAAATATTAGCCAGTAATAAGTTTTATTTTTAAACATCTTTAAGATTTAAAGCTCCGCCGTGTGCAGGATTATCATTTGTTTTGATGTTTCCCGGCTGGTTGGTTAGCTTATTAACATTACACGGCCATTAATGGAAGTGGACATTCAGCAAGACAAACCCAAAAGTCCTTCTGGCCAGGCATGGTATAATTGAGGGGGTTTTCATCCTAACCTGTGAAGTAAAAGAGACTGTGGAGAGAGAGAGAGAAGCAAATTCTAGAAAGTAAAGCCTCCACATTTATTGTAACATAGGACTACATTGAGGGACTGAACATCTGTATGTGTGAGAGAGAGAGAGATTGGGAGAGTGTGACAGCTGCCAATCAGCTGTTTATAAAGCACCTATGAAGTATCATCATAGATTAACACATGATTTAAAAGAGACATCCACTCAGTGTCCTGAATCCTGGCCATGTCCTGTTTTGGACTTTTATTTTGAAGTTAGTTCCAGTTGCTTTTTCACCATCCCCATCATAGTGATGCCACTGATTGTTACTCATTGTTTTCATGTGTTGCTCATTATCCCAGTCCTGTCAACCTTTATAACCAACTGACCCTCTTCAGCCTCATCATCACACAGTGGTTTTCAGCGCTTGTTTCACCTCCACCATGTTTGGTTTGTCATGTTCTTGGTTCAGTTAGTTAATTTATCCTTTGCTAGCTCTTGTTCTTAGATTTTGTCTTCATCTGCTCTGACTTTTCTGTTCGTGTGGTAGTATTCCCGATTTCCTCTTTGTTATATGCTTAGACAGGTTGTTGCTTAGTTTCGTTGCGGTTGTATGTAGTTGCCTGGTGTTTGCTTAGTTGTATTCCTTTTGTTATTTAGTAGCTTTGTACTTTTCTCTGCTTGGTTCTTTCCTCTTTGTTTGCCTGTAGTTCCGTGTCACTTGTGTTTTCAGTGGGTTTCATAAAAGCCTCATTTAATTTCTCTAGCCCCTGTGACATGTCTCCATTGGGGTCCTATTCCCTAAACCCTGACACGCAGAGGAACTTATTAGTCTAGGACATGATCACCATTTGACGTCACAGCTTTACACCATTGGCATTGTTCTGGAATTTTTTTCATAAAGAGTGGGAACTGGTTTTAGTCAACAGAAAATGATTATTGTACATTACCAAAAAATAATTTTCTTTTCTCTCTCCAGACTTCAAAAAACTTCATGAGGCGCATTTTAACAAGATGGAGTCCATCGACTCGTATGTCCAGAGGAAGGCCAAGCAGATGGAGATGTACAGAGATTCTGTTAAAGAACTGAAGGTACTCAAAAGCTTTTTTTTGTTTTGTTCTTTTAAGATCCACCTTCTTTTAAGAGACTTTCAGACCAAGTTAAGTTGCACCAAGTTGATGGCAAAGCCAAAGCAGTGTCTTACCGTTTCATGTCCATAATTGTTCAGACAGTAGTTGCCATACTAAGATTACTTCCAGAGTGTAATAATCTGATTACTTGTATGTGTGTCTTCTACAGAAGGCAAATGGAAATCCTCCTGCTTTGTTCAGTCCTGTTCCAGTGAATAAGAGAGTAACTGAAGACAAGCGCAGACACGCACCGCTGTCAGCCAGTAAGGCTCCTCCAAATAAACCTGCTGGGAAGGAAGATGCTCCCTTCAGGCCATCGGTCCTTTCCACTCGCCGGATCAATGTTCGGTTAGTCACTCTTGGTCAGACCTTTGCTAGACAAAGTCTTTTCACTAACCAAATAATGTAAACACTTCGATGTTAACCGGCTATTTTAGCACAGCAATTTTGCTTTGCCCACTGTGCTGGTGAAACTGTGGGACAGGCTCTTAGAGCCGTGTTAAGGCTGAGTTTCAGGGGGGATGAATGGAAAGAGCAGCAGCTCTGTCCCTTAATTTCTATGGGAGACTGCCTTCACTGCAGACGGCTCCAGCACAGTGAAGAAAGTTGGATCTGCTTCAGCTTTCAATGCACCGAACAGTGACATCTAGCAGAGGCGCTGCATTGACCAATCGTGTACAGGGAACAGTCAGAATGTGGACGCCCACCGGAGGAAGACTCTGTTTACCTTGTTGGTGCGAGCATTCACTTCTCGAATTTGGGCCACAGTTAACGCACCTGAACGACACACTGGATGTTAAGCTGTGTTTTTAATCCATCAGTGTTGACACTGGTCGTAGAAACTGGAAACATGAATGAAGCTACTCGCGCCAACTCATTACAATGTGACCGTATCTTAACGCAGCCCTTTGCTTTAAATCACAGCAGGGAGTTGCATTTTGACTTGATGTGGCCATAGACTGAATCTTCAGACCACAGCCACTTAAATTGAAAACTATTTTTGCCTTCTCAATTGTTCGGCACAGAAGCTAAATGCATTATAATGTATGTGTAGTATTTAATTTGTAACTAACAACCAGATGTGTTGGTGTCCAGGTTTTCAGAAGCTACTCATGACAACGAGTACAAAAGGTCCTTGGTGAAGACGCCTGCACGCCTGTCACCCTGTGTGACCTCAAGCACCCCACTAAAGAAGCCCAACATTGTAAAGACTCTCTCTACCACAAAAACTCCAGGTACCATTGCATCAAATCCTTGGCTGGGCGGGTGTATACAACATATAATGTAATGAGTACATTTTTACTGTTGGCCCTTGAATTTCATAGGACCGTTTGTTTTCACTGGCAATACAAGCACTTCAGCAACACCTGGAACGCAAAAGAAGCCAACCTTTGATCTGAAGGCGAGTCTGTCTCGTCCCCTCGCCTATAAGCCTCATAAGGGTACGAGTAATTTCCATCTAGCTGAAGTTCTGTATCAGAGAAACCCCTGATATTTTTGTGCTAGAGAAAATCCTGTTGTTTTTTTTTTTTTAATAGGTAAACTGAAGCCATTTGGGGAGATGAAAGAAAACACAATGATAAACAATCTGACTACAAACTCACATCAGAAAAATTATAAACAGCACCAAGTCCAAACCAGGTATATCAAAAAAATAAATAAATAAAAATCTTTTCTAATATTGAATGACTCCCATAACAGTGGAAAGCTTGTAACACGTGTATCTCTATGGATGTTGTGCATTTTAGGGCAGACAGGAGGGCACGACGTATGGAGGACCGGAAACAAAAGAAGGAAAGCATGCTTGGGGCAAGAAGAGGCCTCGTCATGTCATGAAAATATCCCACTTGTTTCTACGTAGACTACCAGTCAACAGGTTGGACACTTTGAAGCCTCCAACCTGCTATATTTTTGCTTTTATTGCTTCTGTGTTTTAAGGTTTTATTCCTATTATTTGGGAATGCATCAGCTCATGATTTATTTAGACTGTTTTAAAAAAAAAATGCATGTGCACAATGTCCTTGCCTGTTTTATATTAAAGTTACTACTGTAGTTTTCCAAAGTATTGTCTGTATTGGATGTTACAGCACAATCTTTCACAAAAATTACAGGTTTCACTTGGAAATTTTTGTTAGCAAGTTTTACCAATCAGGTTAAACAACTATTGCGAAAGCACTCAGACTTCTGGATTCCTCTTATACAGTTCATACGCAAACTCCTCAGTGTGTGCATAATCTTTGCAGACACCAATAAAATCAATCTCCAGCTGGAATGGACCGTCTACTTTGTCTCCCAAGGTGAAGCCAATGGTGTTGATCTGTAAATACAACATGAACAGAGTATAAAAGAATGTTACAAGTTTAAAATCTCTTCAGGCAATGATGAAACTATACTAAACAGTGACTTTATTGTGGTGTAATGGTTTCCTTTGCTCTACCTTGTCCAGCCACAGAACGTACTGGTTATCTTGTATCCTTCCTCGGTGAGAGACGAAGAACTTGGAGAAAGGGATCTGGAAACGAATGACACTTGTGCATTAGAATGCTAATGCTTCCTATAAGACCTCTTTAATCGGTTATTCCTGAAAGTGCAACAAATGTAGTAACGATGTATCTTAGCAGACTCTAAATGACAGACATAACGTGTTTTAAAGACAAGATGTACCTTGACATCTTGCCAATATGGTCCTCCTCTGGTGTACAGGAAGTAATTGTATAGGTCATCTTTTTGGTGAGAGAAGTAGGTTTCTGTTGCAATGTTGATCATCCATGGACGGCCATCACCACGCACACGCAAATGCAGGGTGTTGAAACTGGACCAATCGTGGTGCTTTTTCCTATCAAATGAAGCCTTAAGGAGACAAAAGGTTCAGGGTTAACTGAGTGCAGTTTTAGTAATCATCCAATTGACACCTATATGAATTTAGCAATGGTTGAAAGTTTCCAGCCCTTTGAAGGCAGATTTTAATTCCAATTCAGGCTTGACACAAGGAAACCAGAGAGGAGGAAAAGGAATGAGTTTAACTTCTGGTGCATTGTGTATTTGGAGTGACTTCCAGTACCAACTGGCACATACTCTATAGCCTGTTCCTATTTTCTGGTTACCTGCCTAAGTGGCTGATAGTTGGTTTAGGCAACTTGGAGGTCCAGATCAGGTCAAATACCAAAAATCTACAATTACAAAATTAACTAAATGTTTAGTAACATTTTATTGACCAAAGCCTGTTTTCAAACACTCCTCCACAATGAGAACCTATATTTATTGCTCTCAAAGAAGTCAACACGCCCTGGTCTGCTAAAATTACAGATTTACAGAGAAAATACTGACGTTATGACCTCAGTGTCTTCATAGTAGCCATGGCCCTGGATGCTATTAACTTCCCAACCTGATTAGCAGTGATTATATATTTCCACAGACTTCAGGAAGACAAAAAAAGCGTGGCACTAACCAGTGGTTGTTTTGAGCGCATGGTGCAGTAACCACTGTAGCGTGTTTCTCCATCCCTCGGAGGAGTAGAGTTCAGAGTCCCATACAAAAAGCAGGTGTTATTGTTTTTGCTCAGCTTTAAGTAAACTTCACTTTGGCCTCCAATCTCTTGATCTGAGGACAATGTCCACTGTTCCAGGCTCTCTGGACCTCTGAACTCCCAAATCACTCTGTTCTGCTCCAGCATGTGCTCAAGGAGTGGTTTTCCCTCTGGACCAACCCAGCGGTCAGAAAACTCCTGTTTCAGCAGTGTGAAATGCTTCTTTATCCCCTCCAAACCTTTAGAGAAGTCAAAGTTAATCTTCCATGGGGGCTTGTCTTCTTTGGGCTGGCCAGGTCGTCTGTATTCACCCTGGATCAGAGCTCTTCTGGACACAGTGAGAGGAATGCTGGAGGGGAGCAGCAGCTGGTGGTGATGGGCGCAGCTCAGCAGCCTCACTGAGGGGAGGCGTGTGATCTTTGGCAGGAACATTACAGTACTGACTTGGATGATTCCCTGCTGGGCTACATTACATAGGAAAGTGATGTTAATGCACTTGAGTTGTGGTATATGGTAGCAACTAATTATCAAGGTCAATTTTCTTGGCTGAGATATTACATTTAAAAAAAATTATATCAATTGACTGAGATCCAGATGTTATATTATTTGGTAGAGGATATATTTCAGATTAGGGCTGAAAATATTAGCAAATGTCTGTTTTATTGAACCTTAACTGATCAATCGTATTGTTTCACTTTTTGACTTAGGAGCTAGGCAGATTATTTACCGGAATTAATTTCCGCCTAAATATGTATTAGGTTGTGTTAGTATGACTTCATATGCCATCCTGTGTGTCTGACTTGTGTAAGCCTCTGCACTGTGTAAAGCCCCGTTACTTACACAACTGTTAACTTCACATATAAATAAATGCGGTCTGAGCATCGCACACAACAGAGTTTGAGCAAAGTGTTGCTTAATACGTTTATAAGTCAGGTGCCACTAATACTAATAACTAATACATTGGCGTTAGCATCACCGCAACACGTCTACTTAGTAAATGAATTAAGTTATAATTATGTGAAAGCAACGTTTACAAAGAACCTAAATCCATATTTTCATTATTCTGAAGACATAATGTGACAGCGAATTCACTGTTAGCATATTTCGTGCTACTTACATTGTACCAAACCGGGGGATAAATGTTCTCCGATTTCGGACCGTGTTTTAATTCGGCCAGACCACAACTTTATGGCTTTTAAACACTACCATGAATCATAAACTAGCCATATGGACTCGTATACAAATACAAGGTTGTCGAGATTCACGCGGGAGGCCCTTGCTTTACGTTCAGCATATATTAAGGTAAAATGTACAGAGAACCGAATTAGCACAGGACAATATCCTTTACAAGTATAATCAACGTTTGTGGGTCTTGAATGTAGCTGTAGTGCACCAAAAATGTCCGTCCTGACTGCCGCAAACAATAAAGATATAGTTCCCACTTCAGCTATGTATTTTTCAAAGTCCAAGCATGCTGATCCAGTTATCTTTATTTAAATACTATTAATAAAATAATATTACAACATTAGTCTGATAATAATAATAATTTTATTTTACGTATAGGTATAAAACCCTCCAGTAACAGTTATCGATAGTAGCACGCATGCCCAGTAGTGTCTTTGTGTGATGGGCTGACTGCAGAGCCAACTAGCAACAACGGCTAGCTTCTTAACATCTAGACGACACAGGGGTAGCTAGCAAGTTAGCTGAGCACCTAATCATGGTGAATGTAAAGAAGCGGAAAGGTCGAGTCGTGATTGACTCTGATTCCGAAGACAGCGCTAGTGACGATAATTTAGATCAGGTAGGTGCTCATTGTGTCATTTTCTAACGACTTATCGTTTCCTAAGTTGGCAGCACTTTGAGGTGAAGCTAATGTATGCTAACTGGTTACGCTGTGCTTGGCCTCGCTTGAACAAGCTGAATCTGGGCCCGTCTGAATCTGAGTAAAAACGCCTTTCCTAAAGTATCATAATTTGTTTTTACGACAGTTTCTATAAAGCATTCAGCATCAATGAATGCTTTTAAGATAGTAAAGAAAGCAGTATGTTAGCATGAACTAGCCAAGTTACGTAAACGTTAAGGTTACATTCCGAGAGAGATGTAACGTTACTCAAAGCTAGTAATCATGCAGTATATGTTGCCACGAAAATGTCGCGGCATGGGCCCTCACTGGTTTTGTGTAGTAACGCTGTTTGGCCGTGCACTTTTGAGGGATTTGTTTGTTAGTTTGCAAACTAAACGAGCAGTGGACTGCAGAAACCGAAGTAGTGTTTGAGTCGCTCTTGATTTAGCTAGAACCTTTTCCCGAATGACGTCATGGGCGCGGAGCTGAACTTTTTTTTTGTGGTGTTGTCAAACAAGCGCTGGCAAGCTGTCTGAGGAGCTTTACAAGCTCACATGGCAGTCTGAAAAGCTGTCCAGGACTGCAGCTTCTGTAACATTGGTCACCAGTAAACTCCCGCGTCCTTTACCTAATCACGACGCTTTGTGAATGCTCAGAGAAAGCTCACATGTAGTGAGTAACAGATGACTAGAAGCACTGAGAAAATGGTAAATGTTTACTTGGTTGCTCCAAACATCAGTATGTTTTTTTGTGCCTAAGAGCTGGCCAGTTTTCCGCAGTTGTGTTTGAGTTGATGAATACATTTATGCAGATCAGATGTTTGCAGTATTAAATAAATGTTTGTATCAGAGTTTGAGATAGAGATCCAGCTTTGTCTCTCCCAGTGTTGATTCAAATACAGCAGCTCTGCTGGTCCAGAGTGCAGATCCAATACCAGTGCTCATTTTTCCCCAAAATGTATGTCTGTAAGTCTTACTGTATGGAACTAATTAGAATCACTTTGGCGTGAGGCAGCATGAGGCCATGGGGTGCTATAGGCCATCCTGACTGAAAGCAGAAGCACTGGATTTTTATAATGACATAGGCATAAAAACTGTATTTAATGTCACTTGGGTACATATCGGCACTAATATGATACAGTACATTGGATTGTAATATCCATCTTTTCTCAAGATTGCAGCCTTTCCACATTCTTTCATTGGAGGAAGATGCTTCACTTTATTGATAAGATCTAGTATCTTGAATCACAGTTCTACTTAATGTCTGTTGAGAGAAATTGCTGCTCACACATCGCAATGTGTTAGGACTTTTCCTCCTTGCACACATTTAATGTTACCTGTGGGAAACTGACCACTGCTACAGACGCTGAGACCCATTTGCTTAGAGTGCTCATTAGGAAGCCTGCCTCAGGTGTAGCTTTGAACTTCATGTCTTGGGATATCTACCATGTGTGGGATGTTTGTTCTGCTTTATGTATATTATTACGTTGGCTAGCCAGCACTTAAATTCACTCTGTATATGAGGTCATATATATGAAAGTGGTTTGTAGCATTGGATCCCAGTGCAATCTCCTTGGGGTTTGGGTTTATTCACACCGGTTTTTAAAGATATCCACTGATGATGTGCAAGGCTGCAGTTACAGGGCATTAAAGTCACATTTTCAAAAATCCCACAATTAAGTGTTCTATGAGAATCACACCAGTATATTCTTGTTTTCAGGAGCTGTTGTCTCTGGCAAAGAGGAAGAGGGTTGATTCAGGTGAGCAAGAGGAGCCAGTCAGCAAACCTACAGCTTCTACTGACTCCGAGACATCTGACAGTGATGATGAGGTAGGACAGTCTTGGTAATTGCTCTATAAAAAAAATTAGTCGTTCTTCAGTTTGAGAGATGGCAAAATGATGAAAGTAGAGTTGAAACATGTCACAGAGTGGAGTCAGTGAGCAGTGAGAATAGTCAGCTGTTGTCAGTCAGTTATTTGCCAGACAACTGAAATTTTCACTCTCTTTCTAGTGGACTGTGGGCGGCACCAAAGGAAAAAAGAAGGTTAAACAAGGGAAAGGATCTGAGAAGAAGAACGCCACAAAGAAAAAGGTTAATAAAGCAACGGCATCTGGCAGTTCAGATGGAGACAGCTCTGCTGAGAGCTCTGCACCTGAGGAGGGTATGTGTCTTCAGTGTGCATTGGGAACATATGCAAGCAAGCTCTTTCCATTTCTTATTTTTTACTTTCACAAGCTTCTTCAAAGAACCAGAGCATGTAATCAGTTGTTACTTCAGTAACCATGTCTGATTAAAGGTTCAGGAACATGTTGAGGTGGTTGAGGTGGCAGTTGTGCAGATGTCAACTGTCAGCTCAGTTTCACACAACAAACTGTCACACATGCACTCATGTTATGGCACATACATCCAGATCTGCAGAATTCACATGCCACCAGGGTGCAATGTCCTCAGGTATTTCAGGTGGCTGGGATTAGGTGACTCACTTACTCATCCCCTTTATCCTAGCTGGCACACAGTGTAGTGTGTAAGATGCTTGTTTATTTGTGTTACTTTGTCCTGCTTACCATGAGTTGGAAAACCCAGAAAGGTCTTTGTGGAAAAGCTCTGGAAATCTGGTCACCACTCAGTACAAGTGTCCAGTATGATTAAGATATTCTTTTGAAGGAAATCAGGCTATATCACAACCTGTTTATAGAATTATAACAAAGCAAACAAACTCTTGCTCTGAATATGAACTGAATTCAGCCAAGCGATTCCTGTTTCCTGTGTCAATGAATCTGCCAGGTGAAGTGTCTGATTCAGACACCAACAGCTCCTCCTCCAGCTCAGATTCGGATTCTTCTGAGGACGATGTGTTCAGGGACGGTTACGACGACGACTTGATGGGAGACGCGGAGGACAGGGCTCGTTTGGAGCAGATGACTGAGAAGGAGCGAGAGCAAGAGCTTTTCAACAGAATCGAGAAGCGAGAGGTGCTAAAGAGACGGTCAGTCTTACCTCAGTGAAACATTATTGCATTCAGCACACTGATCATTTGGTATTGCCGTTTGTGCGCTCGTTGCTTTTCACTGAAGACTACTTTTGTCTCAACAGGTTTGAAATCAAGAAGAAGCTGAAGACAGCAAAGAAGAAGGAGAAAGAGGAGAAGAAAAAGAAGCAGGAGGAAGAACAAGAAAAAAGGAAGCAATCTCAGGTTCAAGACGCACAAGTGGTGAGTCTGGTTTCACAGGCATTTGAAACCGTATTAGACGCACAGATACTGTATGACAGAAATGTGTTTTAACTGTGCTTTACCCCCAAGAGTCACACTAGAGACATTTTTTAAAAAGTTCCTGTTTTAAAAGTTTTTTAAAAATCAAAACAAAGAGAGTCTAATATACATTTACCTCCTGCACAAAATTGTTTTGTGTGCTCTCTCACAATAGCTTTAAGTAGTATTTGTTTGTCTGGTTTTGTGCAGTGATGGCGGCGTTCTTTCTTTTTCTTCTCTTATTGAATCAACACTAAAGTAGGCAGTACTAGACCATTTCTTTATCCTGTGTTTGTCTTTTCTGTGATGTCTGCTCCTCTTTAGGTCATGTCACACAACAAGGAGAGACGATCCAAACGTGATGAAAAACTTGACAAAAAGTCCCAGGCCATGGAAGAACTGAAAGCCGAGCGTGAGAAAAAGAAAAACAAAACGGGTGCGTGTGATTGTCACCTCTTTGTGACACGGTCGCCCAGACAGTTGGTGTCAGTTCCAAAAACTGATGTTTCATCTCTTTGTTAAGCAGCTGAATTGTTGGCCAAACGTCAGCCCCTGAAGACGAGTGAGGTTTATTCTGATGATGAGGAGGAAGAGGAAGAGGATGATGACAAGTCATCAGTCAAAAGCGATCGAAGTTCACGCTCTTCTTCTTATGATGATGATGAGTGAGTATCATTAGGTTTTTAACATTATAGGGGAAAGAAAATTAGATCGCAAGACCATATGTGTTGATTTTCAGTAACCATTGACTGTGTTCTGCTGACAGAAAGGAAGAAACCCCACCGAAGTCGCAGCCTGTTTCACTACCAGATGAGCTCAACAGGATCCGTCTGTCCAGACACAAGCTGGAGCGCTGGTGCCACATGCCTTTCTTTGCTAAGACTGTGACTGGCTGCTTTGTGAGGATAGGGATTGGGAACAGCAGCAGTAAACCAGTGTATAGGGTGAGCTTGGCTTCTCAGTAACACTTCTTATATGCTATTAAATATTGTACAGCAATATTCTGTCACATAATGGTGACAGTGAAGATGGGGGACTCCTTTAGTTAAATAAAGGCTGATCAATGGAGTGTGATTTAATTTTAATCCTCCTCTGTTATTGAAAGGTCGCCGAAATTGTGGATGTGGTGGAGACAGCAAAGATTTACCAGCTTGGATCAACGCGGACAAACAAGGGACTACAATTAAGGTATGTGTTCTGTTGCTGGTATTTTAGTCACATAATAGAGTAGGTACGTTAAGAATCAGTTAACAGATCTTCTCGTCAGTTGTCCCTGCCCCCTAAAATGACCTTTTTGATGTTTTATGTCATCCTCAGGCATGGCGGTGACACACGGGTTTTCAGGCTCGAGTTTGTATCGAATCAGGAGTTTACAGAAAGCGAGTTCATGAAATGGAAAGAGGCGGTAAGTGGATTTATAAAGAGGGAAATTTGAAAAGTGAAAATATGTCATTCATAAAGTCCAATTAAGGAGGAACCTGAATTTCTTTGAGAGACAACCAGGAAGCAATCTATTTAGACAATGAAGTAAGATGGGGAGTAACTAAGTTCAAGTTCTATATGTTGACTTCCTGGTCAGATGATGGTTGCTGGAATGCAAGTCCCGACCCTTGACGAAATCACCAGAAAGGAGCAGTCCATCAAAGAGGCTATGAACTACAAATTCAATGACAAAGACATAGAGGATGTAAGTCTATTTCTATAGATGTTAAGGGATTGCTCTAGCCTCCTCCTTTATGAGCTGCAGCAAGCCTCCTTTGTCTCTACTCTCTGCAGATTGTTAAAGAGAAGGACAGATTCCGAAAAGCACCACCAAATTATGCCATGAAGAAAACGCAGTTACTCAAGGATAAGGTAAAGGAAACACCACCTCGAAAGAATGATATATAAAACATGTAGTTTGTTCATAATGATCTTTTTAGCCTTTTTCGGTGTTAAACATCAAACCTGCTAATGGGTACATCCACATAAATTACGGCCAAATATCCAAACCCACCAACAATGCTGACAACTGTTTTGACTGAAGGCCATGGCAGAAGATAGCGGAGATGGTGAGAGAGCGAAAGTGATCCAGGATGAGCTGAACGAGCTCGAGGAAAGGGCTGAAGCACTTGACAGACAGAGGACCAAGAACATCTCTGCCATCAGGTACACAAGCTACAGTTACACATTGACACACCAGGTAGTTTGTTTCAATTGGGCGGTAAAAATTAGAGATGTACCATTGCAATTTTCTTGACCTATTCCAATTTCAGATGATTATATTTTTCTTTCTAAGAACTAATTGACAGCATATACAAACATTTTTGTAATTTTTTCTTTTTCTCAGCGTGATCGGCCAGTCAAGGCCGATCACACTGAAAACCTGCCATCTCCAATTTCTATTTATAAAGTCTTTTTATTTTCCAGCTACATTAATCAGAGAAACAGAAGCTGGAACATTGTTGAATCTGAGAAAGCACTTGTGGTAAGTGTCCAGCCCTTTTGACACCACCTCAGTACATCTGCTTGGTTGACTGTGATGATTTTCAACATTAAGACTGATGAGATAACTTGAAATAATCCAGTTTTTATTCTCCTCTCACAGGCTGAAGGACAAAATGCCAAAAACCAACAAATGGACCCTTTTACCCGAAGACAGTGCAAACCCACCATGGTGTCGAATGTAAGGTTTCTGTCATTTTATGTATCATCTTCAGTATGTGCAATGTGATAAAACACACATAAACCTGGTTTTATGATTTGAATTTGTCAACCTGGTTCTGCAGGCCAGAGACCCGTCTGTCCACGCAGCTATTCTTGCTCATTTGAACCAGAAATATGGCTCTGGCTCGACACCAGACCCTTCCAGTGCAGAGAAGAACAATCTGGTAAGCAGGACACTCCCTGTGCGGCATGGTGCAAACTACTTGCTCGTTGATCCACCTGTGACACATTTTTCATTTTGTCTCCAGCCATCAGAACATGGAAAGACATTGTATGACTGTAAGAATTTGCTAAATTATACCTGTAGCTTGTTTGAAAGTATTAGCTGCATTTGGCAGAGCAGTGTGTGTCAGTGATGGCTGGATGATGCAAAAAAGGCCTCAGGAGACAGAAAACTAAATATAATTGATTTTATTTTGGAATATGTGTAAGTGTAAGGCAGAAGGGAATGTTAATTCATTCTGAGACTTTCCAGCAGGAACAAACGTTTCTCTGAGGAGTTCTCAAACTTTTTTTTGTTTCTTTATTTTGTTATAGGGTCAAACAAACCCGAAAGACAAAGATGTCCCCAAGCCAACCACTGACCTCTCAGAAGACTTGTTTAAAGTTCATGACTTTGATGTTAAGATTGACCTACAGGTTCCCAATGCTGGTGAGATGATATTTCCTACGTATGTTTCACTATATGGCTCAGAGGATGATAAGAAGGTTGAAGGTTTTAATTGGTTGCAGTACAAAGTGGTTGTTAATGTCAGTCATAGCAGTTAAACACAGACATGTTGACTGTGCTCTGGTTATTCTGCAGAGGCAAAGTCTCTGTCCGTGAGCTCCAACTCACTGCCGGTGAAGGACGGCGCTCCACGCAGGTCCCTCAACCTGGAGGACTACAAGAAAAGGAGGGGGCTGATATGATGTGCCCAGTCCGTCATTTGTAAACCACATTGCATGTGTAATTGGCTGTGTGTGTGTGTGTGTGTGTGTGTGTGTGTGTGTGTGTGTGTGTATGTGTGAATGAGAGAGAGAGAGAGAGGGGATGATGTTTGTTTGAATGTTGATACAACAGACTGTTTATCCAAACACAGAGGAAATACTGATTGAGTGACGACGGCATTTTTCTCAAAGGACCTTTATTGGAAACGTGTCCAGATATTTGTTGTGTGGTTATTTTTGAATCATCACACACGCACACTCATATATGGTTAAGTTTTTTTTTTTTTTTTTTTTAAATATATTTAACTTTTTTCCCCATCTTTTGGATCTTCTGGAGTCCACTCCTTTTTTGTCTTTTTTTCCTCCCAAAGAACACATGCTTGCGGATTATTAGTTTGGACAAGGACACTATCTTAGAAGACAGTGAGGCATTTTCAAATTACTGATCTGGAGTTGACCAGCTTGTCCTCACCAACAATAAATTAACTGTTGTAAATGTTTTCCCCTCATGTGTGATCATCTGCCCTGGTCGATCCAGAGATTTATCAGCTTTGTGGGTTTTTCTTTTGCAGAGTGTAGACTATCACTATCTTTGACTCTGCTGTGATGCTGACTCTTCTTGAGCAAATGTGAAGAACATGTGAACTGGACATTTATCACTTTTAAAGTCTTTGAAAAAAACCCGATTTAAGAGGAATCCTTTTCTATCGCTGGCCTGGTTATAAAAGTGTTGGTTCAGTTCTGTTATCTCTGGGTTGGTTATTCATGGGAAGACTCCCTCACCCCTAATTACCTGAGCAGATTCTATGTGTTATTGGTTGTGTTCATAGTCAGTTCCTGTATTGTTGTGGCATGCCATGTAAATATGCATTTTGGAGTGAGTGAGGAAAAAATAAAGAGGCACTGTTTCATAATAGCAGTTCATCTTTTTTTTATGTAAAGGTGAGACTTTGGCAGTGCAAAGCCTACTGAGGTTGTTTGAAGTTATTAAAAATTGCACTAAACAGTATCCTTCTCTATTAGTGGTGGGTGAAGTACTCAGAACCTTGACTTGTGCAAAAGTAGAAATGCCACGCTGTCAGAATATTATATCACAAGTAAAGTCCTGCATTCAAATTTTACTTAATAAAAAATACGTCATATTTATTTGTTGATTACATTTTGTAAGTAATTAAAGTTATCAAAATAATTAAAAAATAGTTTTTTGTTCCCCTCTCAAATATAGTGCAGTATAGAGCACTATATAATGGAAAAACTGAAGTAAAGTACAAGTGTACCTCAAAACGTGTACTTAAGTACACGATTAAATTACTTGTTGATATTTGTTTATATGATACGAGTGCAGAGGAGGTGGGTACAGCGCACTGGGAACCTCACTGGTTAATTTTTGATCAGGCCTTTCTGAAGGCGCTCTGTTTAGGGGTCCTTGCTCGCAGCGGTTCCTGGTCCACGTATTGAGAAGATCAGCGATATCCTTTTTGACAGACAATGACGTTTGACTGTATTTATCCAAACGGTTTTTCTTTTTCACGTTCACCGATTAAACTTGGGCAGTATCCAAGTGGCTGTAGACATTCTGAGATTTGAACGTCGTTTCAAACGGTACGTTGGAAGTTGTCCTTTAGTACCCAGCTAGCCTACTAGAAATTGTGGAGTTTATTCGCAGCAAACAGTGTTTATACCAGTATAATGATAACAAGAGCTCAGCTGTCGGTGACTCCTGCGATTACTTTTTTTATCCTCGTGTATATTTATCAGAAAATGTGATATCGTTAAAAAAATTTCAACTAGACAGCTGCAACTCGAGTTAGCATGCTAGCTATGTAGAAATCGAGTATAGATTCTTTAAAATAACTCGAAGATTGTTAATAACTTTAATGCGCGGATGTAGACTAAACCCCGGCTATCTCACACCTGGAATATTATCCTGTACAGCCACAGCCTGATCTGTCGCCCCTTCTCTTGTTGTGTCCTTATGTATGCTACCGTAAAGGCTTTAAACCTGCAACCTTTATGCCTTCACTGCCCTCGGTTTCATTGTAAAAGGACAGACAAGAACTTGTTTTTTGGATTCTTTTAAATAAGATCTTTGCGAACTTACACTTCTGAAAAATGTTGTCATTGCGAGCTGCTTTCTTTATCCTTTAAAAGAGAAAACATGTTCATATGTTAAAAGTTAAAATTATCTGTCAGTTAAACCTTAACATGTTGCTCGTTGGAATAGGGCCAAGGGTAATTTCATTTTCACAGCGTATTGTTATGTTTTTTCCATCAGGATGCAAAATGTCTTGGCTTGCTGACTTAGCTGGGAAAGCTGAAAATTTCCTAAATAAAGTGGACCAGGGAGCTGCCACTGCCCTGAGCACCAACCAGGGTAGAACATCCTCCTTGTTATCCTATGAGGGAGAATCAACTCTCAAGCCTGAGTACAGCACTCCAGGGTATGAGACTGATGCAGCTGTGACACAACATTCCTATGCATCCTCTCATGATGCACCAAGCTACATCTCTGGAGCAGCTGGAAACATTAAGAGATCCAATGCTACCATGCTGGCAGGCACAGCCAATGTGGCCAGTACCCCCTCTGGTTCTGGCAGCAGCTTACCCAACTCTGCCAAGCCAACTTCTGGCTTTGTGAGGCCCAAAAAGAGTGACCAGGATGTGGACGATGACATGCTCTTTGACTTCCTGAACAGCTCAGACCCTCCCGTCAGCAACAGGAGGGATTCAAGAAGAGAACTTGTGAAAGTGGCAGTTCCAGTTAATGAGGTGGAAAACCTGCCACCTCCTCCTTCTACCACTCTTCATGCCATCTCCTCAGCCCCGTCCACACCCCCATCAACTCGTGGTGTATCCAGAGCCTCGAGCATGAGCTCACTGTCTACTCACAGCATAAAAACATCAGAGGAGAGCTCTGCTAAAGAGCAGAGCCAAGGTAAATTCAGGAATTATTTATGTTTCCTGTGTCTTTTTAAGTGTGCAGGTTTAAAATATTAAAGTATCTCACTTTAGGTTTAATAATTATTTTTTGCGACTATAGTTTACATGGATAAGGTAACATTATTTGATTTTAGTAATTCCTCAGAGTTATGCTGAAGTTTATCACCTAAATGAAAAACTGTGAAAAAAATCCATTCTTCATATCCCTGTGATTACAGAGCTGTCTTCAGTTTGGCTGTTTTGTTTGACCAACATTCCAAAACCCAAACATATTCAAATCTGACAAGGAAGATCCGCAAAACTGTTTATCTGAGAAGCTGAAACTAGAGTGTATTTGTCAAGTTTGCATGAAAAATAACTAAAACGACTATTATTTATCCAGCATTGTTGCAAGCCGGTCCTGACTAGATGCAAAAAGCCATACAGGCGGACAGATTTCTCATACTTTCTTCATATAAATTGTATAATCAAGTTCTTTTGTTGTTGAAGGTTTTTGTGTCCTCTCTCTTCATCCCCTTCTCACCACCACAGACACACCTCAGAGTTCAGACTTAGGTTTGGCTGTCCCTCAGGAGTCCAGCAGGCAGGAGCCGCCTCCTCCCACAGAGGAGCCTCAGAGTCAGATCCTGTCCAGTCTGCGTCTGGAGAACCAGCTGCTGCGCAGTGAGGTGGCCTCCCTCAACCAGGAGATGGCTTCAGTTATCCAGAGAGCAAAAGACTTACAAGATGGTATGAGTAAAGTCAAAACAGGAACAATGATGGCCACATGCACACACATCTTATTGTTTAAGATGTTGTTCTCTACTCTTGCAGAATTAAACCAGGCCAGACTACGCGCAGACAAATGGAACTCTGATCAGTCTCACACTGACCGGACGTTACGGGAACTTCGGTCACAGGTTGATGACCTGACAGAGGCTCTTTCAGCAAAGGATGGTCAACTTGCAGTCCTGAAAATCAGACTCGATGAAGCTGATCAGCTGCTGAAGTCCCGCAGTGCTGCACTAGAGGAGGCACAGAAAGAAAAGTCAAGGTACACCTTGGCGACCAGTTTCTGAAGTTCAGATCAGATTTAGCTTTTAATGCAAGTAGATCTCATATTACTTTTTCTGCTTTTTAGAATTATGCAAGACCACACAGAAGGGAGCAGCACGCAGTCCCAAGCTCTTGAGACGATACAGGAGAGGCTGCGGGAGGCTGAACTGGCTCTCAGGAGGGAACAGGACAGCTACCGGCAGATGCAGGTACAGTGTAATGCTGTTTGTTCCTCTGCATACATGATTGATAGTTAAGAACATCCCTGACAGCTTTGTATTTATTTAGTAGGAGTGCTGATATAAATGTTGAGACTTTATAATCCTCTTGTGTAGAATGAGTATGCTGGTCGCCTTTCCAAGCTGGAGGCTGAGAGGCAGACCCTTGCAGAGACAGTGACTGCAGCCGAGCGACGAGCTGCAGAGGAGAAGCTCAGGGTTGACGACCTCCAACAGCAGCTGAAAAGTGCCAAAGCTGCAGCTGAGTCTGCCAGGCAGGAGTTACAAGACTACAAGCACAAAGCCTCACGCATCCTACAAGTAAGACTTGAAAATGTTTTCTTGTGTAGTTTACCTGTGCTTGTTTTCTTGTTTGTGATTAACTTTCATTTGATGATTCAGAATTTTTTTGATAATCCTTTTTTGTAGTCCAAAGAGAAGCTCATCAGCAGTCTAAAGGAGGGATCTGGTCTGGACACTCTGGATGGCAGTGGGACCATGACTCTAGAGCTGGAGGAACTGCGTCATGAGAAGGAGATGCAGAGGGAGGACATCCAAAAACTACAGGGGCAAGTGCACACACTTCGAACAGAAATACAGGTGAGATGCTTTGAAAGGCAGGAAAAGAAAAAGCGCTGTCGATTCAGTGTGGAAAATCTTAGGTGATGCCTTCACTGAGTTGTGTCCAGGTGTAAATGCATTTCTCTGTTGTGTTTGTGTTGTTTTTTTTTTTTTTCTCAGGATTTGGAGAATCAGGCCTTGGCAGAGGCAGAGACGTGGCGCGAGCAGCAGGTGCAGTTACAGGAGCAGCAGGCCATACAGAACAGAGCTAAACAGGAATTAGAGGCTGAGATTGAGCGATACAAACATGTAAGGAGGGAGTTATAATGCCCTAACGTAGCAACTCTAGAAATTTTCAGTCTCTTAGGTGCATACATGTTTTTCCATAATTGTTGCACATATGATTAAAATGGGAATCTTTTTTTAGGAGCAGCAGTACCTTGAGGAAGAGCACCATCGAGCCAAAAACACTCTGCAGAGTCGAATCAAAGACAGAGAGGATGAAATCCAAAAACTCAGGAACCAGGTCAGTGCCTTTATAAATATAAGCTGTATGTTAATTTGGGCCCTCCTTTGTCAAAGTCTAGGTTGGGCCAGCATCTCGTCTTCTTTGTAAGAGTGCCTTTTTTTTTTTTTTTTTTGTTCCATACCGAAGTGCCATTGCTTCAGCTGTTACCATTGATGATTAATAGCCTGGTATGTGTTTATTCTTCCAGTTGACTAACAAGACACTAAGCAGCACCAGCCAAACAGAGCTGGAGAACAGGCTCCACCAGCTCACGGAGACGCTGATCCAGAAGCAAACCATGCTGGAGGCCTTGGGCACAGAAAAAAGCTCCCTGGTCTTCCAGCTGGAGCGGCTAGAGCAACAGCTGAAGAATGCACAGGGTGGACAAAGTGGAGGGCCAGTCATCAACATGAGCAACTTAGAGGGACCAGGTAGGCACAATTAAGGTCAGGGTCAAAATGGCTGGTAATTAAAAGACAGATTCAACAGAAGACCGTGAAATTTCTCTGCAGGAATAATGACATGAGAACATGTCATGAAGCCACAACTTAGACTTTCAGTGCGAACTGAATATTTTATCTTTTGATGCCTCTATGAAGTTACACATGCCCTCCGAAGTTGACATTTCAGCAAACTGAATGACAAAAAGACTATTTAGAGAATGTTTTGCAGAAGTTTTAATAACCATATCAATAGCATTTCTCTCTCTTTTTGGAACCAATTGTATTTCTGTTCCTACTTTCAAGATTCTGCTTAATATGAACAACAACACCATGGAATATGCCAAATTGTTAATTTGAAATTCAGTGGGGGTTTTTTAAGCGTTAAGTAATTTTTGTTTATATTGAGTTCAATTTGATTGTGTTGCATTTTGACTGCACTGATTTCTTTACTCATACGGCCTTTTATGTATTTTCAGGGGCGCGACAAAGAAACACACCAGTCCTCTTCAGTGATCAAGATGCTCCAGGAGTGTATGGCAAAGTACGCAAGGCAGCAAGCACTATTGACCGTTTCAGGTAAGATTTCTTTTTTTTTCACGTTATCATTATTCTGCAGCAGTTACATTGTTTTCTACTGTAAGATACTTTCCCCAGTGATAACTAGAAAATCTTGTCATCTTAGCATCAGACTGGGAATCTTCTTGAGGCGCTACCCTGTGGCCAGAGTATTTGTTATTCTCTACATGGTGAGTATTTATTCAAGAAATGGTATGAAATTTTCCCATCTTGATAAACACTGGTTAATAAAAGAGATTAAAAGCATTTCAACTATTTTTGTTAACAGGCAGTGCTCCACCTGTGGGTCATGATTGTTCTCCTAACTTACACACCAGAAATGCACCATGGCCAACCTGATGGAAGATAGAAGGGTTATATTTACCAGCTTGGGTTTTTCATGGTGTTTGCTTTATTGTCTTCAACGTATGGATGGTACAAGATACTGGAACATGGACTCTGGGACCTGGCTTTCCCTTTTTTTTTGCACAGAAATGCTATAAAGTAAAGACATTTGCTCTTTTTTCTTTATCATTTCCAACTGAAGATTGATAGCTGTATTGAGTTTTAATTACAGAGTGCATTGGCGACCTGCTCCCGGGTGTACCCCGCCTTCGCCCGATTGCCGGCCGGGATTGGCTTGCCCCCCGTGACCCTGTTCAGGGATTAGGCGGTAGAAAATGAATGAATGAATGAATAATTACAGAGTTATATATTGTAATGGTAGTCTGCTGAAGGGACATAAAATGAAACATGATCTCAGATCTGTTGTCACCTGCTTTTAGACATCTGTTCTCTGGAGAAAATATTTAACAATATGTTTTAAAAAAAGAATAATAATAAGGATAATCACCTTTATTTGGCCAAGTACAGTATGTTACACACAGGGAATTTGTTTGTGGTACAGAACCAAGGCAGCCATCTGAGGCACCAACTCACACTGATGGCTCTGAGGATCGGGGGCAACTTGGGGGTTCAGTGTCTTGCCCTAGGACACTTGGACATGTGGACTGCAGGCAGCGTGATTCGAAGCTCCAGCCTTCCAGTTGGGAGACAACCGCTCTACCCACTGAACCACAGTTACCCCCGAAACCTTTAATAAAGAAGTTAGATGAAACAACACAGGCTATCATTTCTAATATATGAACTGAAAACAGCATATAGAGGAACTTTATCATGGAGTCCTGCTTAGTTCAAGAAAACCTGTCCCCTGTGTCTCTGGAGGGACTTCTTCAGTTTTGGAGTAAATAACTGCTAATGATGCTGCAGTAATGTCACAATTTATTGAAAAAGGAAGGGTAAAGGGTTGAACTACAGCTGACGGAATTACAAAAATTCATCCAGAATCACTGTAAGACTTAAATGTTTTAAATAAGAGTAGTAATACCACAGCATAGAAATACTCACTTACAGGTAAAGGGTTTACTTAAATGTAAAAACGTTCAGCAGAAAAATATGCTCGAAGTACCAAAGGTAAATGTACTTACTTAAGAACGGCCCATTTGAGAATAATGTTTAATATTTATTTTTAATGGGTAAATCACGTGTTCTAGGTACGGTAGTTAACGTTGGTCTAATTTTAATTATTTTATATGGGGGCTTCTACTGTTAAGTCTGAATTTTCCTGCAGGGATGGATAGTTTTTTTCACCTTAAACTAGAATGATACGTTCTAAATAATTTATTATAGTTTGTGCTTATAATCAATCTGTAAAGTAACTAGCAACAACAAGTCATCAAATAAGAGTAGCGCAGAAAAAGTTGAATATTTGTTTCTGAACTGTGGTGAAGCAAAAGTATAAAATAGTAATAACAGCCTGTGGGTTTTACCATAGACTGTCTGCAGACGTTAAATTGTAAAAACTGAAAACGGATACTGCTGCCGACCAGATGCAGTTCTTGAACGCACCATGAATTTGTTGGTCCTCCAGTATCCCACAATGCACCGCTGCCTTGTTCTGTGTCCACGTCAAAGCTGACAGCCGTAGCCACAGACGAGCTGATAATGGCTGCAGTTGAGGTGGCACTTTATGGGCTGTGTGTTGTTTAGACTTGGAATAAACTGCTGAAAATACCGTTTGTGTTCGCCGCAAATGATACAGACCTCGACATAAGGTCGTCGCCTAAGGTATTATCTGTTTGACGGGGATGTAATGTGGCTTAGCTCGGTTGTCTTGTCAAATTCCTTCATATAAACAGCTGTTATTAGCCGGCGTCTGTGGTAAATGAGCGTCTGTCAGCCTGAAAAGCGACTCTGTTACGGAAGATTAAAGTGGATTTTAAAGTTAACAGTATCCCTGTGCTTTAGAGTTTACAGGTGAGCTTGATGACCAAGCTGACTTTACCACCTGTCGAGTCGAAGCTAGGCTAGCCCCTCGTCCTCCTCGGCCCTGCTTTGTTTTTGTTTGGTTTTTAGCCCCCCTCGAAGATGTCATCGTGGCTGGGTGGACTGGGCTCCGGCCTCGGTCAGTCCCTGGGCCAGGTCAGCGGGAGCCTGTCGTCTTTCACTGGACAGATATCAAACTTTACCAAGGACATGCTGCTGGAAGGAGCGGAAGAAGTAGGAGGTACTTTTGTGTTCTTGTTTTATGTCTTTGGTGGCCACATCACCGTGTAATACACCCGATTCGTTTTGAGTTACACACCTGTGGGAAACAACGTTATTGTCCAAATGATCCCGGCAGTGTATGTGTGTTGTAAGCAAATATTGGCTAGTTCATGGTGCCAGTGTACCTGCCCTTAATAAACCACATGCCCAGGGTCCCTGAAGGATCTCAGGTCCTCTACCACCCTCTGCAGTCATCAGAGAAAAGCCGCTGTAAACTTGTACATCTAAAGAGAAACACCCATTAAGGCAAAATCAGCTTTTAGAGCTTTCACCTAAAGATACTCGTATTGTAAGACTTGCACTTCTAGTGCACTAGGTACACTTTGTTTGTCAGCTAATCATTTCAACTCTGTTATAGGTGCTTCTAATACACTCACCAGCCACTTTATTAGGTACACCTGTACAATGTATGCACTTCACTGTAGCACTTCCACTTTAACATCTGGTCAAATTGTTATAAATGTATATGTTTATTGTTGAGGCCATAGTTAAAGGTGGTGTTGTACTGGGCTACATTATATTCAGAGGTGTTCCTAATATTCCAACCCGCTCGTGTGTAGCTGGGCAGGACAAAACTATATAGACACCGATGTTGAGCTGGAAGAGTTGCATTGAATGTAAAAAACTTAAGTGAACAAAAGGGAACATGCATAATGTCATCTTAATTACAACATACACTTAAACCCTTCATAGCTTAGTTACACCACACAGCCATCTTCCACAATGTTTCCTGTCAAGTTCACTTTCCTACACAGTGCCAGGAAATACACTTGCATCACGGGACAGAGATACACCACTTGGTGTTAAGACGCCTGGACAAGGATGAACACAACCACTAGCTGCTTTTGTTTTTAGTGGTATTATTGTTTTTGCTTCTGTTGTTGTGTTTCCATTTTCTGTAATCATCATACATGTGCCGCTTGTTGTGGTGTGGCTAAAGCTAGCCGCTTTGATTCTAACAGTGCATCAGTTTGATCCACATACTCTGGTTAGACTTAAATTTTCAAATCATGTTTCCACGTCAGAGGGAGTCTAGTCTGTTGGCCTTTTTTTTTTTTTTTCGGTACAATTCAAACATTTTCATCTATAGCCTTATTTTGCTTTGAAGGGTAAAGCTTTTCCAGTGTAAAATCTTAAGCAGACTTTCTCAGTCAGTGCAGTCACTCCCTCGTTAGACACAGTAAGGCAGATTATTGATGTCGCTCATGTTCAGATGTGGTTGAGTTCACTTATAGCTCTTGAGTTATATTCATAAATGTAGTTGTATGTCATTGATTTGAGTCACTGGGCTTAATGTAACCTGTTATTACCAGGTCTCAGTGTAGCTCTGGGCTTGTAAGTATGATCTGAAGTCAGAATGAAATGATTGTAGAGCTTAAATCAAAATGCTCCATCACCTTTGCCCAGTTAATTGGAAAAGCACCATCACTCTAAAGCAAACAGATAAGTGACAAACCACTGACGCAAAGAGAACTTTGATCACAGATCTCCAACTCGCAGCTCCAGTCAAAAATCAGAAGTATGAAATCTTATCAGTGTGTAGGGAGGACCAGGCCAGCAGCAAAGCCTTCTGAAAACCAGGCCTTAAAGGTATCAGTTAAACTTTTAAATGGTTTGTATCTTATATAGCCCTTCCTCACAGTGTGTTACACTGGCCAAAGCGCTTTACAGGAGATCATACACCATTCACACACCAATGACAGCAGGCTGCAACGCACTGGCGCTAGTCAAGCCACCGGGAGCAATTCGGGGGTTCAGTGTCTTGCTCAGGGACACTTAGGCATGCGGGGAGACCGGGAGTCGAACCACCAACTTGCTGGTCAGGAGACGACTGCCCTACCTCATGAGCCACAGTCGGCTGTTAACTGGCACTGGATTTTCTTGTCTGCTTCACTTCAGTTTACAGGGTGAATATTATGTGTTGGCTGGGTTTCATCCAGCTGTTAGGTCACAGGGATCTGACAAGCCGTGCATGTTCTTTTCATCATGTGCACAGTTTACAGATCTGTGCATGTGAGAGTGTCAGAGTGTGAGTCAGTTATTATCTGTTGAATGTGCTTTGTGCCATAGTAGATTGACCAGAAGAGTCATTTAGAAATTTGTTATCAGAAACCTGAATTTTATAATTCCATGTTCATATGGTTCTTTTACTGTCTTCACGGGGAAAAAGTGCCATATGTTTTATTATTTGTTTTGTTTATTTCCTACTGCATGTTTTTATGGAAACCTATGAAGAAATTTCAAGTGCACATAATATTCTTGTCTGAATGCCTGTTAACATTTTCAGTGCTGTTTAATCCATGTAACTCCAGATGCTGCCACAGAACTGCATGTGTCCAATTCCAGGCTGGTCGAAGTCGAGGCTGCATTTGCCACTCAGAAATCTGAGGTTAGATTCTTTGTTCCCTTCCTACCAGGTAGGAAGGTACTGTATGGTTCACAGTTACAGAAGGGTTTGTGTCAATTATTAATGCATTACACATTTTTGCAGATTATTTTCCTAGTTTTTTTGATTTGTTCAACTGCTTTGACATCTACATCTAACCAGAAAAAATAAAAATGTTAAGGTCTTGCATGTGTCCATGTTATAGACGTGTCCATGTTATAGACGTCCTCTCTTCTGTCTCCTCGTTGCAGTACGACAGGTTAAGAAAGCTCCATGCAGAGCTTGAGGAGAAGCTGGAGGCATCAGAGATCCAAATTAAACGGCAGTCTGCAGAATACAGAATTCTTCTGCAACAAAAAGATGTATGTGTATTTAGACTAAAATGAAAGCATTTGCCTGACACTTCCTGAAGAACATGTTCAGTACCTGGAGTATACACATTTGTACAAGTAGTACTGATCCAGTGAAGCTTGAAATTGTTTTCTTTATCTTCCAAGGTGGAGATCAGTCACCTGAAAGCTCGGCAGAGTGGACTTAAGGAAGAAGTCCAGAAACTGCAGCGGTCAACCCAGTCTGCCTCCACTGGCCCTGCAGGGCTGCCTGTCGCTACTACTTCCTCGATCACTACATCCTCGTCTGCTTCCTCTTTCCTGTCACGGCCCTCAGGGTCCCACCAGGGCTTCCACAGCGACGAGGTGGACCTCAGCGATGTCATCTGGTCGCAGCACGAGATCAACAGGCTGTCAACAGAAGTCATGCGCCTGGAGGCAGAGGTGGCACACTGGAGGCGAATGTCTCAGGTAAAAGTAGAATTTGATCTAGCAGGACAGGTGGTTTGTGATGCAGAGTTGAACCTGGGTCATGCAGTGTTTCTGTAACCACTTGGC